TCTAATTTGCACCTCCAAGTTTTGAAGGCTTGTTTGATGACTTTGGAGTCCCGCCTCGACCGAGGTAAATTTTGAGGTCGCCACATCCATGAATTGCTTAATCTTCTTGAACTTCCGAGAGCTCGTGCTCACAAAGGTGGTCACTAGATCTTCAAGCTTAGCAAACTTGTTAGGTTGTTGTTGTTGTTGGAACCCTTGACCACCTTGTGCTTGGTATGGTTGTTGGAAGTTCTGGAGATGAGGCCTTTGTTGGATTAAAGTTGGCCGAGGTTGATAGTTTCCCGTCAGACCTTGGAAACCGGGGGATATCGGATTGCTAGAGGAATACCAAGCGAAGTTTGGATAATTACGCCACCCGGGGTTGTAGGTGTTGCTATAAAGGTTGTTCCCTCTAGCGTTGGCAATGCGAATCACTTGCTCCTTGGGGGTACTTGCTTCCTTCATCGATCAACAATCCGCAATTTCACTATTAGAGCTAGAACACCAATCACTAGACATCAACGCTTTCTTTCCATGTTTCTTGTCTTCAAGAATCACCTCAATCAACTTGTCAAGCTTAGCTTCAAGTGGAGCACTTGCTCCCACACTTCGCACTCCTCTTGTTGTGCTTCTCTTACCACTTCTCGTCAAACCCCAATCGTATCCCTTGAGATCCATGTCTTCGAGCAAATCGGTCACCTGAGGTGGAGTCATGTTCATCGACTTCCCTTGGCAAAGAGAGTCGATGAGAATCTTGTCATCTTGAATGAGATCACCATAGAAGGTCTCTATCCAAAATTGCTCATCGAATCCATGGTGAGGGCATTGGAGAAAGTAATCAGAGAATCTTCTTCATGCATCCCTCAACGTCTCATCTTCCTCTTGCTCGAAGTGGGTAATCTTCTTTTCCCACTCGGACGTCTTGGAAGGAGGACGATATCGGGTCATAAATTTGTTGAGCATATCATCCCAAGAGGTGATTGAGCGAGCTGGTCAGTTGGTGAGCCAATGGAGCACTTTCCTCGCAAGCGAGTTGGGGAATAGCCTCAGTTGCAATGCCTCCTCGAGGATGCCATTTATCTTCAAGCTTCCCGCAAGCTCAAGGAACCTTTGAACATGCTCCCGTGGTGATTCATTGGCAAGCCCATGAAACAAGGCATTGTTCTGGATCATGGTGATGAGAGCGGGCTTGATTTCAAAGCTGTTGGCGGCCACAAGTGGATGTAGGATGGGAGATTGGATATTCACTGTCCATGGAGCCATGTAATAGCCCATAGTCCTTGGTTCTTTCTCAGCTCACGCTTGCTCATTTTGGTTATCCGCCATCTCGGCTTAACTCCCTTCTTCCTCGGTTTCAAAATCGTCCTCAACTTCAATTTCTACTTCAGGACCAAATTGTGGTTGTCCCCTCCCCTCTATCCTTCGACTTGCTTCCGCCAGTTCCCTCTCACTAACCAAGAGTCGGAGAGTGCGGTTGAGATTCCCGCTAAGTGGCACCAAAGGTTTCAGATTACTCTGGGTCATACACCGTCATGCACACAATCAAAAGAATCACAACACGTCTAGCACAAGCAACACTTTAAACAATCAAAATTCAAAGTAAAAGCTATATTAACACCAAACCATCTTTTCTGAATAACGGACCAAGCTCCCTGGCAACGGCGCCAAAAACTTGACTCAACCCGAATATCTCAATTAAATCCCATCCAAGGCCCAAGTATAAACCTTAAACGGGTGCAATATAGGGCAAGTATGTTTAAATATCGATCCGGGCCAGCCCATATATCCCTACTTCAATTGTTTGAAACATTATCTAGCGGATTGTTGTTTGTGAAAATCTCTACAATCTATGATTAAAACAAAGGACTTGAAAAGTAAAAGGATTGAAACTCTTGGTGAGAAGCTTCACTCGGGAGTTGTTTCCTCCTAACTAACTACCATGACCCGTGGGATTGAATAAATCGGTGTGGGAAAAGGCGATTGTGAACCGCTAGGAGGAGCAACAATGGTTAGAAACCATACTCTCAATTGCTAGGCCAAGGAATGCATTATAGGCTACAAATGTAGCCCTCTTGGCCGGAAGAAATTGAGGGTTGACTTACCTTCTCCCTCAAACCAGGGGTTTGCATGGGTTAATCACAATTAGACTAGGTATTCTATTTGAGTTTAGAGATTTGCCATATATTAACCTAGATAAGAGGCATGGAATGCCCAAGAAAACCCAACTCAATTTGAGTCTCTTAAGATAAGGGGGTTTCCCTCTAAGCTAGGTTAGAATAGCACAATAGATTGCCAAGCACACACAATGTACAATCACCATGAAAAATACTTCAAATCTCAAATTAAACACCACCCATACACAATCATTCAGTCCACACAGTTAACTACATGGTAGAAGTTAGGGTTCTACAACACTCAAGTGAATAGGAGACTACTCCATGCTAGAAGAAGGAAAACACATAGGAAAGGGGAAAACCCCCTCATTGTTATGCCTAATCCTCCCTTGTGTTTGTAGAGATCCTCTCTTGAAGAGGAACTTCCCAAATCTTCACTTGGAGCATACCCTAGCTTTTTCTCCCTCTTGGTTCATGGCTTTCTTTCTCTAGATTCTTGAAGAAGAAGAAGGTTTCTCTCACTTTGGGCTCTCCTTTCTTCTTCCTTTCAAATCTCATTTTATGCATAGATCATGCCATGTTCACGATCTCAGTTCACAATCGTGAACTAATGGCGGAGACCGTGAACTCGAACCAATTCACGCCGTTTCATTTAGCCGGTTCACAGTCCATGGCTTCAGTTCACGGTCTTGCGATCGTGAACTGGGTTGATGCCAGTAACCTATAAAATCCCCGTGGACCCTTGCCAGTTCACGATCCAGATGACAGTGAACTTTCTGCCTGGACCGTGATCTTCGGCTGTTTCCTCCTTTGGTCCGATCTTCGCGCCATTTCTTCCAACAATCGACTCCGGGGTGGGTTTCATCTGTTAGATTCTGAAACACGACAAACCTAGCGTACAACCACACCTTTCATAGCTCAAATGCCACAAACGCCAAAGAGAAACGGGGATGAAAAGTGTACATTTAGGCCCGAATCAGAAAGAAAAATACATAACCCAGCATCCCATGGGGGATCAGTCGGAGACTTGCTAAGTCTCAACGCCGCGAACCAACCACCTCCAAACCGGACCAAAACGATGGAGAACGGGCGTAAAACCACCAAGAACTCGAGGTAACTAACAAATTGGGATTTAGAGGTCGGAGGAGGGAGATTTGGCTGAAAAACCGCCGAAGGGAGAGAAAGGGGCGATTTTCCGATGCTAGAGAGGGGAAATACGGGCAGAAAAATGAGGAAGAGAGAGAAAGAGAGGGCACGACCGAGTTAGGGTTTTAACGGCTCTGGGCGAATTACGGGGGGCCAAAAGCACGCCCGTGCTTTTTACGCCGCAAGTCATGCTGGCTCTTGGGTAAAATATAGACAAGGGAAGAGGGAAACACGATCGTGTTTCTTGTCCCTTTGCCCGTGCTTTTTTGTGCGAGAGAAGGTAGGGGAGAGAGGGAAAATATAGGCAAGGGGGAATGGGAACTTGACCGTGTTTCTTTTCTCCGTGCCCGTGCTTTTATGTGCGAACCTGCCCTGTAAAAAACTCCAACAACAATTTAAAACAACCAAACCCCATCCGTGCCCCGGCTCGAAAAAACATACCACCACAGATAAAACGTACCACCCGGGGTCACGAAATAGGTTTCAGACAGACTCAATGACTCAAAGACCAAAAATCAAAAGAGAAAATGAACATAAATGAAACCGTTGTGGGGTTGCCACCCCACAAGCGCTTCTTTACCGTCGTTTAGGTGGATGCAGATGGAGGAACTAAGGGACCTCGAGCCTGATCAGCATTGACTGTTTGAAACATTATCTAGAGGATTAGTTTTGGTGAAAACAAATGTCTAAAGCTAAATTGCTTTGCAAAGGTAAAAATGGATTGAACTCTAGTTGAGAAAACTTCACCCGGGTGTTGCTCCCCCTAGCTAACAATTATGACTTGAAGAATCGAACGAGCGCGTGTGGTTAGGGGATCATAAACTGTAGGGAAGTCTAACAAGCAGAAAAGATACTCTCTTAGCCTCTAGGTTGAGGAATGGGATACGATCCAAGCCACTAATGTGACCCTCTCAACCTATCAACTAAGGAATGGTTAGACTTCACCCTCGAATTAGAGTTCGGATGGCCACCCACAACCAAACCCTAAGTGCTAATGCGAAATAGGAGGTTTGCCCTTTAACTAACCTAGAATAGGAGGTATAAAATGCCCAATGAAACCCATCTCTAATAGAGCCTCTTAGGTTAATGAGGGTTCTCTCTAAACTAGCCTAGGAGGCATTGAATGCCCAAGGAAACCCATCTCGACATGAGCCTCTTAGGTTGAGGAGGGTTCTCTCTAAACTAGTTTAGGAGGCATTGAATACCGAAGGAAACCCAGCTCGAATCGAGCATCTTTGGATAAAGGTGGTTTCCTCTCTAAACTAGCTTAGGAGGCATGAAATGCCCAAGAACTCCCATCTCAAATTGACCCTTTTAACCTATGGAGGTTTCCTCTCTAAACTAGCCTTGGAGGCATGAAATGCCCAAAAACTCCCATCTCAAATTGAGCCTCTTAACCTAAGTAGGTCTCCTCTCTAAACTAGATTAGAATGTCAATTAGATTGAGAGACTTTCACACAACACAATCATTTCTGAAGAATACATCCACATTAACACAATCATGTCTAAATAATAACCCTCCTTTTTATTTTTTATATAGATTTATGATTTTATTATTATTTCTTAAACAAAACAAAAACAAAAAATAAAATAAAAAACCCTCCTCCAACTCCAAGTAAATGGAAGCCATGACTGAACAAAATAAGAAAACGAATGCAGGTGAGGTGAGCCCACAAAATTATCGTTGAGGAAGGGAGGACTTTGTTTTTGTCCCCCAGCCAAGATCATTATTTCCATCCGCACGTCCGGAGAAACACACACCAGTCTGGCCGTCTCTGACTCTCTATATCTCCCCATCCATCCACGCCCACGCTCACAGACGCAGCATCCTTCGTAATTTCCGCCTCCGCCAAAAACCACAACCCTGCTCTCGCCCCGAATCAACACCCCTGTTTTCCCCCATTCCTCTTTCTCTCTCCGTCGCAGAAATGGAGAGCCTCGCCGCCCTCCACTCCTTCTCTCCCACCACCACTTCACTCTCGTTCCCTCCTTGTCGCTCATCCTTGTTCCGCAGATCACCCAAACCCACCTCCCGATTCTCCTCCTCCGCCACTGTAGCCACATTCCGCCCTCTCCGATCACCGCTCCTCCTAGCCCCATCCAACCCCCATTGCTCCTTCCTAAGCCGCCGGTCTCTCAAACCAATCCTCCTTCTTCCCCCAATTCACGCCTCGTCCAAAGATGACAACGACTCCACCCCAGCAGCTGCATCCGTTCAAGGAGCCAAGCTCGTCCCCCTCGTGATTTCCGTCGCAATTGGGTTGATTGTTCGCTTCGCCATTCCCAGGCCAGCTGCCGTCACGGCCCAGGCCTGGCAATTGCTTGCGATTTTCCTGTCCACCATCGCAGGTCTGGTCCTCAGCCCTTTGCCTGTCGGGGCCTGGGCGTTTCTTGGCCTCACGACCAGCATCGTTACCAGGACTCTCTCATTTTCCACGGCCTTCAGTGCCTTCACCAGCGAGGTTATTTGGTTGATCGTCATCTCTTTCTTCTTTGCTCGTGGATTTGTCAAGACTGGGTTGGGGGATAGGATTGCTACCTACTTCGTCAAGTGGCTTGGAAAGAGCACTTTGGGGTTGTCCTACGGATTGACAATAAGCGAGGCTCTTATTGCTCCTGCTATGCCCAGTACTACTGCCAGGGCCGGTGGCGTGTTCCTGCCCATTATCAAGTCATTGTCATTGTCCGCCGGCAGCAAGCCTGGTGACCCTTCTGCCAAGAAGCTTGGGTCTTACCTCATTCAGTCCCAGTTCCAGGTCTGTATCCTCTTCCCTTACAACTCTCTTTTTCACACTGCACTTACCCATAAGCTGAGTTAATGCTGTCTTGCTGCCCGGGCTTTATTTATGGGATGTATGGTCCCTAGGTGTCTAAATGTTTCAGCTGTTGTAAATGGTTGTTATGGACCAGCGTATGGCCCTCTGATTGCTATTAGCTTTTATATATTAAGATTTCTTGAGGAATGTGGAGTTGATAGTTTGCAAAGGAATCCATCTGGTATAACTTTGTAAAATCTCTGTCCTCGCTAACCGCTCTATTTGGACTTCTTCCATCCTTTGCTCTTTTATTTTTGGCCGGTGAAGGAACTCAGGCTGCTGATTGCTTTAAAAATTGAGTTGCTTTCTTGCTTTCTCCTTTTTCTCCAAAGTGAACTCATTTTGAATATCCATTTTATCAAGCGATTTGATCTGTTTTAGACTTATGCATCACCTTTCTTTTTTTGACACTTTACAGTCTGCTGGCAATTCTAGTGCTCTTTTCCTGACTGCAGCAGCTCAAAATTTGCTATGCCTCAAGTTGGCAGAGGAACTTGGGGTGAAGTTTTCAAGTCCTTGGGTATATTGGTTCAAGGCTGCTAGTTTGCCAGCGATAGTGTGTCTTCTAGTCACACCACTAATATTATATAAGATCTACCCCCCGGAAACCAAGGACACCCCTGAAGCTCCTGCTATGGCTGCCAAGAAATTAGAACAGATGGGTCCTGTCACAAAGAATGAGTGGACTATGGTTGGTACAATGGTTCTTGCAGTTTCTTTGTGGATATTTGGGTAAGTACATTTCGCCATTGCTTGCCCATGTATTGCAGCACTTTTACTTTCTTAAATAGTAGATGAAGATAAAGCTTGATTTGTAGGCTTGGTTGGTTACTTGTGTGAGTTCTTCTTTCTGTATTTTCGCGTTGGATTTTACCACGAGGACAGGGATGGGGCTAGCTACTGAATTCATGATGATGACTATGGAGTCCTACATTGTACAGGATGTCTATAGTTTTTGGGGCTCCTCTCTCATCCACGTAGAGATTAACTGCAGCTCCCTCGTTATACATGCATGTATTTGGAGAATTGTATAGAAAAGGAACTAGTTGATTGATATGCCTGGAATCTCGAGGAGATCCCTAGACTCATAATTGGGTCAAGCTATGAATGGCAAATTGGTGATTCTATGCACAATGTACTTGCTAGTTTGGGGCTACTGTTTTGTGTATTGTGGCATGGTTGATACTTGATACCACCCCTTCAGCAAAAAGTTTGTTTTACCAGTTGATGTCCTGATGAACAAAAGCATATTGCTGAAAGTTTCAGCGCCTGATTTACAAGATGATGAGGCAACCCCTTTCTAGAAGAGTGTATGAATTTGTTTTTGTCCCGTTGTACTTTCACTTCAACCGGAGATCATCCTATCGTTTAATCCACTGATTCATGTGAACTACTTGTGCAGAGATGCCCTTGGTATACCAAGTGTTGTAGCTGCAATGATTGGTTTGTCAATCCTTCTTTTGCTCGGAGTCCTTGACTGGAATGATTGCTTAAGTGAGAAGTCGGCATGGGATACATTGGCTTGGTTTGCTGTTCTAGTGGGGATGGCTGGACAACTAACAAACCTTGGAATTGTCACATGGATGTCTAGCTGTGTGGGGAAGTTACTGCAGTCTCTCTCCTTGAGCTGGCCGGCTGCATTTGGCGTTCTTCAGGCGTCTTATTTCCTTATCCACTACCTATTTGCCAGTCAAACTGGTCACGTTGGAGCTCTATATTCTGCTTTCCTTGCCATGCACCTTGCAGCTAATGTTCCTGGAGTTCTGGCGGCTCTGGCTTTGGCATACAATACTAATCTGTTTGGTGCACTTACACATTACAGTAGTGGTCAGGCTGCCGTGTACTATGGAGGTAAGCCTTGTATACTAGTAATATGATTGTTGTTTCCTCTGTAAGAAGGTTGCCTCGAAATCACTCGTAAACTGGGTTACGTCTGTTTTCTTTTGATTGGATCTGCACTTACACTGGCATACTGCTAAAATCGAGCTTGTTTGCTTTGAGCAGCTGGATACGTGGAGCTCCCGGACATATTCAAGGTGGGATTCACGATGGCAACGGTGAATGCTATCATATGGGGAGTTGTTGGCTCTTTGTGGTGGAAATTTTTGGGACTCTACTAAGCTGTGGGTTCTCCCTGTAAGTAGACGTCGAATCACTCTCACATGGCATCCCTTTGTTTTTCGGGGGTCTTAATTCTTAAAGGCTGATCTCAGATTCAGAGATGACAGTTTTGCAAATTTAAACCAACACCCCGAGCCATTTTTGGCGTGTTCATTGATGAATAATACGTTCTGAGACATCAAGATGTTTAATCCATTTGGATTTATTCATTTTTCTTTTCTCCTATGTGTACTATAATACCCCTTCGGAAGCCATTTTTGTGGCTGTGTCTGTGGACTGTGGCTGAATCGGAGAACAGAACATGCATATTATTATGCATATACAAGCACATGTAAAGTTAACCCAAGGGATTGGCTTAATTGAAACACGGTCTGCCGCAAATCAATTATACCTAGAGTTCGTTTGGAGAAAAGGATTTGCCCCGACCCCGTAGATTTTTTTTCTTCTTTATGCATTATGAATCAGGAGGAGGAAGATGGCTAAGAGATCCTAAGTCACATGACTAAGTCAAATTCAGCCGCTCATTCAATTTTTTTTTTTTTTTGTGGGACCACTCATTTAAATTCTAATATAATGATCCAAATTAATCTCATTTAATTAAGCATAGAATGATAATTTCACCCTTTATTTATTTTATAATTAAAAAATTATTGGGCATGTGGCGTTTTCTGAAAAAATGCAGGAAAAAATAATCTAATGGTCCAATGTTAATAGTGACATTTTGTACTGTTAGTATGTTTTGTAATATTTGTGAGTTTTGTTATTTTTGTAATGTTTGTTGGACTCTTTTGTAATTTTGTAAGCTTTGTTATTTTTTTCAATAATGTTTGTAATATTTTTTCTGTCGAAAAAACAACCTGGTTGACTTTTAGACGAAACTCCTCTATATAGAGATGAAGCGTCCAAAGTCAACTCGACTGTTTTTCCCGTTTATATGGTTTACCAGTCTAGTTTATCATTTTTTCCATCATTTTTGTAAATCTAAAAAAAAAACCGGGTTGATTTTGAGACTGAATCTCTCTATACAGGGATGGGGACTCCAAAGTCAACTTGGTTGTTTATTTTATTTTATATGGTTTGTATTGTTTGTCGGTCTAGTTTGTATTGTTTGTATGGTTTGTACTGGTTGTAATTCCCGTTTGTATACTTCATAATTTTTCTTAATACCCAAATTACCCCTGTCACTAATTAAAAATCTCTTCTCACTTTTTAACAGTTAGAATAGTGTGTCCAGATCTAAGGGTTAGATGGGTCTTAGTCAAGTGACTAAGGACCCCTACTTAATCATGGGATCCGCCCTCCAATCCAAATCTCTAATAATCAGAGAGATTCTATATATTGATTTGTGAGATTTTTCTTACTTTATCCCTTCCATTTTGATTCATTTCTCCCACTAAATATATTTATAAATAAATTCTCAATCTTCCGACAACTCTATTTTTTTTTTTATTATTGATACACATGTCCTTTAAGATAGAATTAGAATTTTCATTTTCACAGAATGTTAACAATAACAATTACGAAACAATGAACAATTCAAAGAATTCAAATCTTTGAATTGTTTACAATCTATAGATTTAGACTCTCATTCTCTAAACGAACCTTAACTTAATTTGAATCTTGTTATTAGATCTTTAAGAAGTTCTTTAAATTTTTCTTGACCAATAGAAAGAGGAAAGAAAAGAGTGTCGACTGACCATCTAAAATGACAAATAGAGTGTTCTGTCGAGATGATAAAAATATCTGTAACCGTGGATATCCGTTCGAATCTGACCTAATCGGATAAGGTAAATCCAAACCCGAAGGATTTTTAGTTGGTACGGGTAAAATCCAACCTCATATTGAGAGTAATTGGTGGGCATGGTTTTCTCACTATCAAACCAGAACCCTCCCGATTATACACATGCATATGTATTTCGTCTAGAAATAATCATTATTATCCTCAAACATATTTTATCTTTAGCATACAAATATAATATTTTCATTAAATTGTGGTCTTCTAATTAACATTTTTCATTCTCGTGATTTATTGTCATATTTTCCTCTTATATAATGTGATTATACGTGTGGTTGTTAACATATTGGTTGAGTTATAAAGAGAAACTATTACTCATGGGTAACCGTGGTACCCGAAAGTCGAACGGGTATGGGCATGGTTTCAATTTTCTACCTAATTCTTATGTGGGTATGGGTATGGGTAAAACGTGAATTATTTTAGGTAGGGTAACGGATATGCACTATCCGCCCCCGACCAGACCCGTTGCCATCCTAGTGTTCTGGGGAAAAATATATTGTAATTATAAAATATAATTATTTCAACAAAAATGGAAACTCAGTTGCGCATTTGCTCCCGTCCCTGAAATCAGTCCACTTCCCTACATACACTCCCTTTCTATTAACTAGTTTGGGATCTGATGCGTTGGTTGGAATGTCATTTGAATATAATATATTTGTAAGGGAAAATATCCAAAAATAGCCAAACCTTTTAAGTTGTAGACAAAACTATTTAAAATACCATATTTGAAAGTTTTATAATATTGGACAGTTATAACTTAACCCTCCGTTAACTTTTTTGTTAACTATGTTGATGTGGCTGACAGTGTCCACGTAAGTTCTCTCAAAGTAAATCATTTTACTTAAAAATCTCCATCCAACACTTATTATTGAGGTGGATGAATTAAATATTAAAAAAATGGAAGAGCCTCCCTCACATCACATATCCTCTCTCTCTCCTCTGGTCCCAAGAGATCGATGTGCCTTCGCTGTGAATCTGCCATCATCTCCATCATTTCGAAGACCATTCCATCAGCCAGACCTTCCTCCTCGATCAACGCCCCCTCTTCTTTGCCGCCATCACCACATAGCGTTCTGCTTCCGTGTTCGCCTAGTGCCTTTCTCCGCCAAAGCTCAGATGACGAAGGAGAATTCCTTTCCACAAAATCTGAGTCTCCTATATGAAGTTGTGTAGTGAGAAACTTCTAAACCTAGCAGAATATCACTGCTAGGGTTTCACTGATGAGGACAAAAGGACTGAACACGATAGCCTTTTGTGGGGAATTGGCAATATGCCTTTTCTATGTTTTCTCCTTCTCATTATAAACTATTCAAGTTTCACTGTACAACAACAGTAAAAATAACAACAAAATAAACCTACCAATTACCTAATGCAAAGTGCCACGGTAAGAATGAGAAAAAGCTAATAGACCACACTAAGTGAAACAACAACGTATTAACCTTAAGCTCAATGAAAATGAAAATCATCTGAAGTTATTCGTGGTAAGTTGTTGCTGCTGTACCTTGATTAGCTATGGTTTCTTCTTCCTCTTCTTCATTTCGATCTCTTGTAGGTTGATGCAACCATTTCGTACCTTCTGCTTCTCATGCCCCCTCAACCTGGCAAGTACAAGTCATGTACTGCCAGCTTGGATAATAAGTATCTGAATCGATCAACAGATAAACCTTTTGTGAATAAATCAGCCAATTGTTCCTTAGTAGCAATATGCGATCATTTCAGCAGGTCTGAATTCAATCTTTCAAGAACTACATGGCAATCAACCACAATGTGCTTAGTACATTCATGAAAGATGGGATTTTCCGCCATATGTATAGCATATTGATTGTCACAGAAAGATCTGTATAGGTTGTAAATGGCTAACTCCATAGAAATGCAGTAAAGATTTGAGCCACTGGACTTCACGTGAAAGTTGTACCAGCGCTCTGTATTCTGCTTCTAATGAAGATCTGGAAACCGTCTTCTGCTTTTTATTCTTACAAGTAATCAGAGAATCTCCCAGGAATGTAGAATATCCAATCACTAACTTCCTAGTGGCAGGACATGTTGCCCAATCAGAATCACACTACCCTTTGATAGTGGGTTTGAATTTGAAAAAAACCCCAGTCCTTGACTAGGGTTACCCTTTCATATGTGCTGTAGTAGGATTTCTTGGAACTGGCATAACTGCTGCACTGGAAAGGTAATGTCTGGTCTGGTTGAGGTTAAATATTGAAGTTGTCAAAGCCAATTTCCAAATAAGGATTATAGGTATAATATGCCCCTCTACTATAAAGTTTTATCAAACATGTCCCGCTACTATTTTTTACATCAAACATGCCCATGTACTTTGGGGAAATGATCAAACATGCCCTTCTATTAGAATCTTCATCCAAAAACCGTTAACCACGGCCGAAGTTTTGTTTGAGCGACACTAATGCATAAAATATCCTTAAAAATTTCACTTTAGAATTTTTTTGGTTCTTTTGTATGGCCATATAATTCTAATAATTTCACTATGACGAGACCCAGAGAAATAAAACAGGGGACAAAACTGACGTTTTTCCACCCATTTTTCGATATCGGGTCATCTAAATCTCGGTTCAACCATGATTGATGATTTTCTCAATGGAAGTTTTAACAAAAGGGCATTGTTTGATAACTTTTCCAAAGAACAGGAGCATGTTTGATAATACGACATAGTAGAGGGACATATTATACCTATAACCCTCTAAATAATGCGCCATCTTCAAGTGGAACACCATTAGATGTTGAGTAGGAAGTCTTCATGCTCAATGATGTCTTGGCAGGTTTGCTTTCCAGAAATTTTGCATTGGCCAAAATGCTCCAAACAAAATTTTATTTGGTTTAAAGTGATTCCATTCTTGTCTTTGGCTACTTCCAATCCCAGAAAATACTTCATGTTTCCCAAATCCTTGATTTTGAATCCTCGTTTTAACTGTCACTTTACACTCTATATGTCTTCAATTTTAGGTCCTGCCAAAAGTATGTCATCTACATACACAATCAGGATAACTGAGAGGTGTTGAAAACTGAGTAATTTTCAAATGATTGTCAAAATCCCAATTGCTTCAAAAACTCAGAGAGTTTAATGAACCATTGGCTACTGGCCTGTTTTAGTCCATACAAGAATTTTTCTAGTTTGCAAACCTTAATTTCCTTGCATGTGACTTATCTATCTTAACTCTTCAGGTTGCTCCATTTATACCTCCTTCTCTAAGTCACCATGCAGAAAGGCATTACTGACATCCATTTGATGGAGGTGCCAATTCTTGGAAGCTACAACTGCTAATAGTAATTTGACAGAATCCACTTTGGCTACAGGTGAAGAAGTATCAACAAAGTCCAACCCGTAAATCTGTGTATAACCATTGGCTACCAGCCTAGCCTTGTAAGTGTCAAGGGATCCATCTGAATCAAATTTGATTTTAAAAAGCCGCTTGTTCCCTATAACTTTCTTCCCGGGAGGTCGATCAACTATCTTCCAAGTACCATTATCAATCAGAGCAGATTATTCTTCTTTGTCAGCTCTGTCCTAGCATGCTTCCTGACCAGCTTGAGAGTAGCTTTGTGGATCAGTGGTGGAAGAAATCAATAGGAAGTAGTG